TTACATTAGCTGTAGCATAATTCATCGAGTGAAATAAAGTAAGTTATGTTAGATTATTTTAAGTAGGATTACATAAGAATGAATAATTTTTAAGTGAAATAAACTAGGGTGTCTAATCTTCAGGTCATCCCAATATTTAAAACCCATGTATGTCGATCTCTGCTCCCGCCACCGTGAGTAAACCTGAAAGCCGTAGTCCCTCCCCTTCCTGCACTATAGTCCCTCCCCTTCCTGCACTATAGTCCCTCCCCTTCCTGCACTATAGTCCGTCCCCTTCCTGCACTATAGTCCGTCCCCTTCCTGCACTATAGTCCGTCCCCTTCCTGCACTATAGTCCCTCCCCTTCCTGCACTATAGTCACCTCACTCCCTTCCTGCACTATAGTCCTCACTATAGTCACTCCTGCACTATAGTCCGTCCCCTTCCTGCACTATAGTCCCTCCCCTTCCTGCACTATAGTCCCTCCCTTCCTGCACTATAGTCCCTCCCCTTCACTATAGTCCGTCCCCTTCCTGCACTATAGTCCGTCCCCTTCCTGCACTATAGTCCCTCCCTTCCTGCCTTCCTGCACTATAGTCCCTCCCCTTCCTGCACTATAGTCCCTCCCCTTCCTGCACTATAGTCCGTCCCCTTCCTGCACTATAGTCCCTCCCCTTCCTGCACTATAGTCCCTCCCCTTCCTGCACTATAGTCCCTCCTCGTGATGGTTGCATGATGACCGCCCAGCGTCAGGAAGAGGAAGGTTGATTTTAATAAGTAATAGAATTTATTGGTGAGCTTAAAGGCGTCAAGGTTGTTCGTAGGTGTACGGGGTGTTTGTTTGGGTGTGTTTCTTTATGCGAGTATATATGTTGCGTCTTTTTTGCGAAATCGATTATTTTGCAAAATTACCGGCATGCATATTGGTAATTTTGCAAAATAACTTAGACTAAACTAACCTAACCTTATGGTTAGGTTAGGATGACTCGTGTAGATTGACACACAGTTAAGTGGTCCTGTCCTTTTTTAAAACTGGTTTGCCTAATTGTAAGTTATTTTGCAAAATTACCAATATGCATGCCGGTAATTTTGCAAAATAACCGATTTCGCAAAAAAAAAGACGCAATATATATGTGTGTATGTATGGGTGTGTTTCTGTATAGTGTATCATCCGAGTATATGTAATAATAACAATAATAAAGGTTTATTAATAGAGTTGCAGCCGGTGACTGCATGAATGTGTGTTTCTGTGTGTGTATATACGAATGTGTGTGTGTATATATACCGGTATATATGTATGTGTTTCTGTATACATGTGTGTTTGTTTCTATGCATGCATATGTCTGTACAGTATGTATACATGCGCTATAAATTTATGTATAGTGCGCCTGTGGTGTAATGGTCAGCATGCTCACGTCGCAAGCGAATGGACCCGTGTTCGATCCCCGGGCAGGATGAAAATGTGGGCAAGTTTTTAATGTATATCCAGCAGTAATTGGGAACCTGGATGTTTATCGTTTTGCGGATCGTGTTCCGGGGTATGGTTAGCCAGTGCAGTTGGCGAGTTATCCGGTCTTCTCGGACTATTCCTGGACACTGGGTCATGCAGCTCGTTAACTTAGGGTGTAGTTGTTGTGTTGGCGACAGTTTCTACATCTCAAACAAGTTCACGCCTAGGTGGCTCCTGGGCCGGCCATCTTCATTACACGAGGGGCAACCATTATTAGGTAGGTATGTATGTACTGTATATGCCCAGCTGCCCAGCGGTCCCTAAGAATTCAGATTAGTCTTAAAATGTATATAAATTGTGAAGCTACAGGCTGGGTTATGGCAGGTTAGGTTAGTTCAGGTCAGGTTCGGTTACGTTCAGGTGTCTACAGGTGACATACAAAAAATCCAATATTCTGTCTCCTAAACATCACAACCGTAACCTTGAAATAAACCACAAAGAGAGAGAGGGAGAGAGGGGTGTGTGTGTGTGGGGGGGGGGGGAAGGACAGTGCACGCTTCCTTCCCCTCACTGTCACGTTGTTCGGCTCCCTCACACGTGGGGTTCTGGGCTTGAGGTCAGGGGTCGCCACCACTCACTGGTTTGTTAAAGCGGAGAAGCTCTGTTCTCTCTCTCACTCGGCGTCGTCGTGTCTTTGTCGAATACATTGATTGCGTAAGATTGTGTCAGTTTAGTTGTCTGTTAATGTACACCATATCTGTCTGCCTATCTACCTATTTATCTATCCATCTATCTAATTCTATTCCTATATAATATGTAAACGTTGAAGCAGATAGGTAAATGGATATATCGACATAGAAAATATATATGTAGATAGAAAGATACATATATACATACATATAGTTTAATACAAATAATTGGATAGACAACATTTTTAAACAATAATGCAACAGATCCTACACGAGACAGTATTCTACCCCCGTAACCCCCCTGCCCCCGCCCCGCTCCGTCATAACAAGAAAGGTAGCTTAAACAGAATGGAATTTAATGACCTCAAACTTTCATTGAAATCAATCTCTCTAGGTCCGGAAAAGTGATCATCGGGGTGTATTGGAGTGTAATGTAGAGGGGTGTAGTGTAGGTGTGAGTGTGGGATATATGTATAGTGGGTGTGTGTGGGTTAGTGTAGGGTGTAGCAGGGTGTTAGTGGTGTTACTGTAGCGGGTGTAGCTGTAGGAGAGGTTAAACGTGTGGCGGCACTTTGACTGTGTTACATATACACGGATATAGTGTGTCTACAATACGTAATCCTGTATCTCCAAGTACCTGAAGATCTATTTAACCTTTGTACGCTTTATTTATCATCACTACAGGTAAAAAAAAATATAAACGAATGGGATTTAGGTTCAGTTACGTAATGTATAAACGTGGTGGTTGTAGTCGCTGTTATTTTGTTTTTTATATCCGGATTACGTGATATATTTTCATTAAATTACTTATCTTTTAATAAACAAATCCAAACAAAAGCTCTGGGTAATAGTGTTTAATTTTTTTTTGTGTAAATGTCAATAATGAAAGTATCCAGGACCATAGATGCTCGCTTGAACAGAGAGCCATGATAACATATTGGGACAAATTTGATGGAATATTTCTTTCACTAGTAAGCATTTTCCCTCCAAGTGTCAAGACCATCCTTCATTCAGGTATGCATTCATATTGTAACGGTGTAGGTGAATGAAAGACTGAATGATTGAACGTGTGGTGAAGCCTAGTGTATAAAAGATGCTGTATTCTCAAGGTTAGTGTATAAAAGATGCTGCATTCTGAAGCTTAGTGTATAAAGGATGTATTATGAAGCTTAGTGTAGAAAATATGCTGTATTCTGAAGCTTAGTGTATAAAAGATGCAGTGTTATGAAGCTTAGTGTATAAAAGATGCTGCGTTATGAAGCTTAGTGTATAAAATATGCCGTATTGTGAAGCTTAGTGAATAAAAGATGCTGTGTTATGAAGCTTAGTTTCTTTACGCCATTTGCCTCTGTCTATCCAGCAGTAATTGGGAACCGGGATGTTAATCGATTTGCAGATCGTATTCCGGGGTAATGGTTAGCCAGTGCAGTTGGCGAGCTGTCCAGTCTTCTCGGACTATTCCTTGACACTGGGTCATGCAGCTCGTTAACTTAGGGTGTGGTGGTTGTGTTGGCGACAGCTTCTACTCCTTAACAAATTCACGACTAGATGGCCCTTGGGCCGGCCATCCTCGATTTCGAGGGGCTTCCATTATTTAGTTTATAAAAGATTGTGTTGTGAAGCTTAGTGTATACAAGATTGTATTGTGAAGCTTAATATATAAAAGATTGTATTGTGAAGCTTAGTGTATAAAATATTGTATTGTGAAGCTTAGTGTATAATAGATGCTGTATTATGAAGCTTACTGTATAAAAGATGCTGTTTCTTCTATGTGTGCGCCGGTAACCTGGTTCTAGATTCTTCAAGGATCTGCCGATGTATAATCCCGTAAGTGAAGTAGTATGAGTGCATCTAAAGGGTTTACATTAGTTAAGACACAAATAGAATATTTAAAAATAGCATCATGTTTAGGGTTCATTTAACACCAGTTTGGAAATAATACGAAGACCTGGTTTATTATTATTATTATTATTATTATTATTTTTATTACTAGTATTATTATTATTATTATTATTATTACTAGTATTGTTATTATTATTACTACTATTATTGTTATAACTATTATTATTATTATTACTATTATTATTACTAGTATTATTATTATTATTATTATTATTGGTGAGTGTATTTGTAGATTTACGGTATTTTTTGTAGCTATTTTTTGGATGTCAGGTTTAGATACGGTCTTAGTGAAGTCTTAGGTTGTCCTATGATCTTAGCTTACAGTCTTTAATTTACAAAGATAATTTTACTATTATCCTTTGAGACTTTACTGTATACCCTCGGTCATTACATTATCACAAGATTGCTGGTGTGGAGGGCAATGACCTTTCCAATTTTGTCGGGATTAATGGCGTGAGGTGTCCTTGTAAAGTGATATAGTGGTTATTATAGTGGTATATGATTCCCACTTTCGGAACCTTCCATTCAGTCTTATATAATCAGGAACAGATGAGATTTGCAGGGTACCCGGTGACAGCACTAGGACCCCGCTTCCTCTACCAAGGAATAAACTATTGAAATTGAAAAAGTGAATTGATTTTATGAATTTTTAAAGACATATATTTCTGTGTTTATATCATATGTGAGGACGGCAGAGCAAGGGGTAGGGGGAAAACTACTAAATAATTAAGATTATTCCATGTAGAAGTGTATAAAACCGGAAACTTGTAAAACGCCTGACACCAACACAAGATAGTGAGTAGGGAAGAGAGGGCGGGTGGGTGGAGGAGGTAAGGTAGGGAGGGGGGAGAGAAAGAGGTGGGTCTGTCCCTACTCATTTAGTCATTCAGTGACGTCAGGAGTAAAGCCCCTCCCCCGGTCATAGCCCCGCCCCCCAGCCTGGCAGTCACGTGTACGGGGGAGCGAAGCCGAGTGACCAGACTCAGCTAGAGCGTCACTTACTTGCTCAAGCCACCAGGTCCAGTGCTACACCTCTCCACTCACTCCTTTAAACACGGTGTCCAAAGCCTCAAGTGTTTTACGGCTCCTGGGATAACTTAAAGTGTTAATCGTTCTCCAATTGTACAGTGTTGGGGGTAAGCATTAAGTGTTTTTAATTGAGAGTGATGTTAAGTTGAAGTATGCCGGTATTCTATAGCTGTTGTGGGTGTCAGGCATACAGCGAGTGTTTGCCTTCTTAAAGCCACTCATTTATGATTCATCCGTGACTATAGAATACCACCGAGTGTGTCCATAGTGCCGTGAATTACCGATATATGTGTGTTGGTTATCGTTATTGCTCGACACTTTCACTGGATATCAACAAACCCCATAGATAGAACGGAAAGGCTAAGGTGAAGTGTCGTAACTCAAGGTTTCCTCAGCGTAAAATTAGACCCTGGGTTTCAGTAATGAATTATGAAGAAAGGTGATGATTGGGACATTCAAGACGTGGGTGACAGTGAAGGTTGCGAAGTATCTGAACTGAGGCCTGAGTTAGTGTACTTGATAATCACTACAAGGTCATGTACTGTAGCGTAGCGTAATGTGTGTTCATTGTCCAGGTATTCAGGGTCATATAAGCTTAATTAAAAGGTGATGTAACAGGAAAGAAAAGGTAATGCCCAAACGACATTAGTAAATTAGGGCAACATACTATATCGAGATATAAACAATTAAGACTGCATTAGATTGACTATAGAACACAATGGAGGAAACTGCAGCGGGTCTATTGGCCTATACTGGGCAGTCCCATTTACACCCAACCCCTATTGCTCATATATTCACATTAAGTTTGCATTGAGATATAGGTCAATTTAGGATAGTAGCCAGGTTTCGAATTCCGTTATTTTATTGTTTGCAACCACATTACCTAACAAAAATAAGACGAAATTCTTTTATGACACTTTCTGCGCTGACGAGAAATAACGAGGATAGAGAGAGTTAAAAAAAAACACAACATCCCCTTGAAGAGCTCTGTTCTCAGCAATAGGTAAACAATGAACTTAAAAAAAAAAGAATGCCAAGACCTTTAATTCCGTTTGTCATATTGGTAAGGCTTGCAAGGTTAATCTTTAGTGTGTATACCTATGAGAAGTGAAGTATAGGTATAGCTTGAATATGTATCAACTACTTTGTACTAATCGCCCCCATTTTTTTTTCTATTACAGGTGTATTGGACATCGCAGTGACCTATCAAGTGCTCAACAATACTGTGATTATAGTGGGACTCATAATAACTCACTGACAACTTGACGAGTGCAGTGCAAGTGTAAATAAATCACTCATTTCTCTCTTTAAACTGTCTTTCATGTTGACCAAATTGAACCTAAAACTTATCATTCAAAAGTAAATCGTGTTGTGGGATGTTACTGTTTATTGTAAAACTGGAGTGATTGATATAAATTACCAGATTAATAGTGTTTCTGGGAACTGTTTGACGATTTTGGATTACAAGTTACAGAAGACTTCCTGTAAAGAGCTTCAATAATTGCCGCCAGAGAGGTGAGTACAGTACCTATCATTGTATCTGGGGAGTTTTAGGTTAGATTTAGATTGGTAGGTTAGGTTAGGTAGAATCAGTTAGGGTAGATTAGTAGATTAAATTAGATTAGGTAGGTTATGTTAGGTTAGGTAGGTTACTGGGTAAGTTGGGTTTGGTTAGGTAGGTTACTGGCTAAGTTGGGTTAGGTAGATTAAGTCAGGTTATACATTACAGGTATTTTATATATGGGGATAAATTCGTTCATCCTATCCATTGTAATGTAAAGATATCAGTAAGTCTTTCAACCTTTAGACATCAACAATGCTTATAATAACAGCTGAGAGAAGCTATACAAGAGGCCATCACATTGACACGCCATGGGAACAGTTACCTTGGGGCCATACCTATTGTGAAGAGACTTGTGTTTTGCTGTACATAAAATACTCAATAGTGAAGAGAGTCGTTGTTAGACGCACCTGTTTGAATCACATTATATTGCTTAATAGTTAAACACCCTAATTTTACATGGAGGGTTAGGTTAAGTTAGAGTATGTTAGGTTAAGTTACAGTATGTTAGGTTAGGATAGAGTATGTTAGGTTAGGATAGAGTATGTTAGGTTAGGATAAAGTATGTTAGGTCAAGTTAGAGTATGTTAGGCTAAGTTAGAGTATGTTAGGTTAAGTTAGAGTATGTTAGGTTAGGTTAGAGTATGTTAGGTTAGGTTAGAGTATGTTAGGTTAGGATAGAGTATGTTAGGTTAAGTTAGAGTATGTTAGGTTAAGTTAGAGTATGTTAGGTTAAGTTAGAGTATGTTAGGTTAAGTTAGAGTATGTTAGGCTAAGTTAGAGTATGTTAGGTTAAGTTAGAGTATGTTAGGTTAAGTTAGAGTATGTTAGGTTAAGTTAGAGTATGTTAGGTTAAGTTATGTTAGGTTTAGAGTATGTTAGGTTAAGTTAGAGTATGTTAGGTTAGTAATAGAGTATGTTAGGTTATGTTATAGAGTAAGTTAGTTAGGTATGTTAGGCTTAGAGTATGTTAGTTAGAGTATGTTAGGCTAGGTTAGGATAGAGTATGTTAGGTTAAGTTAGAGTATGTTAGGTACAGAGTATGTTAGGTTAGGATAGAGTATGTTAGGTTAGATAGAGTATGTTAGGTTAAGTTAGAGTATGTTAGGCTAGGTTAGGATAGAGTATGTTAGGTTAGGATAGAGTATGTTAGGTTAGGATAGAGTATGTTAGGCTAAGTTAGAGTATGTTAGGTTAAGTTAGAGTGTGTTAGGTTAGGATAGAGTATGTTAGGTTAGGATAGAGTATGTTAGGCTAAGTTAGAGTATGTTAGGCTAGGTTAGGATAGAGTATGTTAGGTTAAGTTAGAGTATGTTAGGCTAAGTTAGAGTATGTTAGGCTAGGTTAGGATAGAGTATGTTAGGTTAGGATTAAGGTGTTTTAGTGTATAAGAATTGGGAGTACAGGTACTGTACAGTCATTTTACAGTACAGTATACTGTATATGTATAGGACAGTACTATATTTGCTAGTCAGGGTGCCAGGCTGTAATAAGCTACAGTAGTAGTGATTTAATTACAGTACATGTACTGTAGTTTGAAAAGAGACATGCTATACAGTACTATAAACTGTGATGCAGCTTGGGGGGGGGACATGATGTGTAGTAAACTGTTTTATGAACATTATTATAATATACAGTACAGTAGTTATATAATTACTTATGAATTAGACACTAGAGAAGTAAACACAGAAGTTAGGCAGTACAGGACAGTACAAAGTTTGGTGTCTCGAGTGTTCACTGGATTATTCCCTCAGTTGAAGGTCTGTACTTGTAGCTCTCTGGAACTCATCCACTTGTCCTTGCACTATACAGTTCCCTCAACTGTTCAGATGTGTACCAAGATCTACCATGCACTATATACAGTACAGTAGGATCTCCCTCTGCAACAATGTTTACCAAAGGATAAACATTTGGAGGAATTTGCTCAAGTTGTGGTGAATTGACTCCACCTGATCTTGGGTGATCTTGGTAAAGCTGTTGGATCAAATATAAGATCCGGGGAGGGCGTTGTGGTAACCGTTGCAGTGCAGGGTTGATGTGTGAAGTAGAGGTTGGTGGTTGCTAGAACAGTGTCATATATAGGTTGTAATTTTAAGCAGGTTCAATTCCTTGTTACTTACTGGACTTATCATTGACGATCATTATTTTTCAAAAACTATTACAGTACATCAGAACTAGGTATTTGTAATATGTTTAACCCTCTTCATCACTAATTTACCCTCTTGTGAGCTAAAGTTCTTTTTATCGCCTGTGGCCATATCCTCCCGTTATTGGTAAAAGCAACTCGTCCGATTTTCATGGGATTTTACACCGCTTAACAGTACATCGTTAATGACAGGCATGATTGAGTTATGTACAGTCACCCAAAAGAGTCCTGTCGCATCTCATCCTGAACCACGAACCCCGAGATTCAGACTCGTGAACCCGAAGCAGTAGACACTGATACATTATTCTGTCCATAAATGATTCGGATTCAGGAGTCTGAATCTCGCGGTTCATGGTTCACGATGAGGCGACAGGACTGTACTTAAGTCAGAAGAGTTTTGCCGTTGACGAATATGAGTCATCGTTGTTGTTTACATTTAAGTGAAGAAAATAGATGACTCGTGTGCGTAAGTGTGAGAGAAAACAATGACTTGAAAGGGAGACTTAAATAACTCAAATTCCAAATACTAAATCAATAATAATAAGAGGCAGGCATATTTCATTGACACTATATCCAGATTATTATTTATATATTTGGGTTACAGTATTGTAGTTCAGACAGGTTTATATACCAATGTGATATAGTTTTACCTATATACACGTTAATGTTTATGAAGAGCAATTATATATTAATGTATTATGGTAAACCGTTATATAAGCTTTTGGTTATATCAGTACTCATATATTTGTGTTGTTTTATGGATATTAATCTAACTGTATTGAAAACTGTCTAGGTGTTTGATGCGTAAGGACGAAATCCCACATTAACTGTACTGTATTATAGTATCTAGATAAGGTTGAGTCTCAATTATGATACTATTTATATATTTAACAATTTATTTATTTACTTTTTTTTTACCAGTAGTGAATAAATTAGACATTTTTCTTCAGTAGCGGGGAATTTTCATCATAATTACGAACCTAGAATCAGAGCGTTTGGTACACGTTTATCGGCTAGTAAGGGCGAGTCGCTCGGCTGTTGGCTCTTGGCACCGCTGAGTGTGTGTGTGTGTGTGTGTGTGTGTGTGTGTGTGTGTGTGTGTGTAGAAGTTGTGCAGGAGTGGAAGGTGAAGGGAGACGGGTGGAAGGTGAGCATATGGGGGAGGGGAGGAGGGGGAAGGGAAGAGATGGACGAATGGGAGGAGGGGGAAGGGGAAGAGATGGACGAATGAGAGGAGGGGGAAGGGAAGAGGATGGACGAATGAGAGGAGGGGGAAGGGAAGAAATGGACGAATGGGAGGAGGGGGAAGGGAAGAGATGGACGAATGGGAGGAGGGGAAGGAAGAAAATGGACGAATGGGAGGAGGGGAAGGGAAGAGATGGACGAATGGGAGGAGGGGGAAGAAATGGACGGAAATGGGAGGAGGGGAAGGGAAGAGATGGACGAATGGGAGGAGGGGAAGGGAAGAAGCGGACGAATGGGAGGAGGGGAAGGAAGAGATGGACGAATGGGAGGAGGGGAAGGGAAGAAATGGACGAATGGAGGAGGGGAAGGGAAGAGATGGACGAATGGGAGGAGGGGGAAGGGAAGAGATGGACGAATGGGAGGAGGAAGGGAAGAAATGGACGAATGGAGGAGGGGAAAGAGATGGAAGATGGAAGGAGGAGGGGAAGGGAAGAAAATGGACGAATGGGAGGAGGGGGAAGGAAGAAATGGATGAATGGAGGAGGGGGAAGGGAAGAGATGGACGAATGGGAGGAGGGGGAAGGGAAGAGATGGACGAATGGGAGGAGGGGGAAGGAAGAGATGGACGAATGGGAGGAGGGGGAAGGGAAGAGATGGACGAATGAGAGGAGGGGAAGGGAAGAAATGGACGAATGGAGGAGGGGGGGGAAGGGAAGAGATGGACGAATGGGAGGAGGGGAAGGGAAGAGATGGACGAATGAGAGGAGGGGGAAGGGAAGAAATGGACGAATGGGAGGAGGGGGAAGGAAGAGATGGACGAATGGGAGGAGGGGGAAGGGAAGAGATGGACGAATGAGAGGAGGGGAAGGAAGAAATGATGAATGGGAGGAGGGGGGAAGGAAGAGATGGACGAATGGGAGGAGGGGGAAGGGGAAGAAATGGACGAATGGGGAGGAGGAAGGGAAGAGAGATGGATGAATGGGGAGGAGGGGAAGGGGAAGAAATGACGAATGGGAGAGGGGAAGGGAAGAGATGGACGAATGGGAGGAGGGGAAGGAAGAGATGAAGGAATGAGAGGAGGGGAAGGGATAGAAGGACGAGATGGACGAATAAGAGGAGGGAAGGATAGAAGGAAGAAATGGACGAATGAGAGGAGGGGAAGGGATAGAAGGGAAGAAATGGGCGAATGAGGAGGAGAGAGAAGGGAAGAGATGGACGAATAAGAGGAGAGGGAAGGGATAGAAGGGAAGAGATGGACGAATAAGAGGAGAGGGAAGGGATAGAAGGGAAGAAATGGACGAATGAGGAGGAGGGGAAGGGATAGAAGGAAGAAATGGGCGAATGAGAGGAGAGGGCAAAGAGATGGACGAATGAGAGGAGGAAGGAAGGAAGAAATGGGCGAATGAGAGTAGAGAAGGAAGAGATGGACGAATGAGAGGAGGGGAAGGGATAGAAGGAAGAAATAAGAATGAGAGGAGGGGGAAGGGAGAAGGAAGAAACAAGGAATGAGAGAGGAGAGAAGGGATAGAAGGAAGAAATGACGAATGGGAGAGGAGGGGGAAGGGAGAAGGGAAGAGAGATGGACGAATAAGAGGAGAGGGAAGGGAAGATGGACGAATGAGA